CTCTTTTATCTCTCAAGGCTATTGTATTTTTCCCTCTCAAAAGCCTAATTTTGAATTTTGATTTACTGAATTCTGCTTGCTGGGTTCTTTAGTATTTTCTTTTTTCTAGGTCAAAAGTCTTAGCCTAAAGATCTATACATCTATTTTTAATAATGAAGATGTTTTAGGGTAAAAAGAAAATTCCAAGAATAAAGAATACATCTGGCAATATTTAAAAATATTCTACAACTACTTATATGATAAGAACTGAAATGTTGCAGGTGGCCTGCTATACAATTTACCTTTGGGGGAAAACTAGAAAGAAGCTAGGTGTATTTTTCAAGATGTTAAGCTCAAATAGCCTGGAAATCTACCATAAGAGGAAAGTTTTTCTCTCCATCCTTTTTTGGTTTTGAAAGTATTCCATGGCAATGCCTTCTTTTCCACGCCCTTTCATAACCTGGGAGGGCTGTTTGGCAAAATCCCACACAGAAAGCAATGCTCACTGCCATCTAATGACATAGACCAGCTCCTTGGGGAAGAAGAGAGAGCCCTCTGGCTAAAAACATCAAGTCTGGAACCCTAAAGCTCTGCAAGAGAAACTATGGGAAATGTGGTTCCCTAGGTTGGGGAAGGGAATGGATGACTGAAATATCCTTTTCCCAGCTTGTTAATTTCTATGACTTGAGGAAAACGGATTTCAAAAGGAAGAGAGGAAGACTGGTTTTCAGACAACAAAGTGAAGATGCATTATTCTAACATTTTGAAAAGTGTTTTAATGAGTATTTGCTAATAATAAAATATCACATTAAAAAGATGCTTGCTTACATTAAATTAATGCTTAAATATGGGCACACATTAAAACATCCCTGATCTCTGAATTCATGACAGTGAATGTGTGTTTCTTTTATACTGTTCACAGAATGCTTATGACAAATGCAGTGCAAATGGAGATGATTTTTCCAACATGGGCTGTTGAAACTAACCTCCTTATGTTGAATATCACCACATCAAATGTATTACATGCCCAATAGATTAATGAATCATGATTGATCATGTATGTATTAAATGTATATGTATACATATATATGTGAATATATATATAATTTTTTAAAATTAAAAAAAATATTTTTACCTTCTAGAGAGTAAAAGAGAAAGCAAAGTACCACAGTAATTAATCTCTCTAGCCATAATTTTCCACCATGGAGTAGTGGTTAAGATCATGGTACTGGAGCTGGAATGCCTGGGTAAAAGCCACTTACTAGCTGTGTGACCTTGGGGAAGTTCCTGGACCATTTTGTGTAGCAGTAGCCTCATCTCCAAGATGGGAGCAATAATGGTACCTGCCCTCTGGGATGGTTATAGAGATTGAATGAGTTAAGACATGGAACCCTATAAAGTACAAATAAATGTGAACCTTCATTATAATTAGTAGTATGTTCAAGGCTCCATGCTAGGGGCTCTGAGGGATACAAGTAAAAAAAGATACACAGTCCCTACCTTTATATAGTTTACTATATAATTAGGAACCTATGCTACATTCCCATGTTAAATTAAATATTAATACCTGGGAAGAAAAACTAACCACTTAGTTCAGCAGCACAGACCAGACTTTTAAATACAAAAGTCATAAGGACTGGGTGACCTGGACAAGAGAAGTATTTTTATAAAACATGTTAGTCTTATACTAATTTCCTTTCACTGGATGCTGATCTCTTTGAAATGATGAAAAAAGGCTCAAGGCAGATTACATAATTAATGCTGTTTGTAGTGGGCCAGCCGTGGGTGAATGTTAAATGATACAGGTGCTGATGCTGAATTAAGGTTCTTGACAAGAGATGGGTTGAGCTGAGAGCACTCTGAGAAGTGGGACAACCAGTCAATGCCATTTATGGAGGGATAGTAGACGCTTCAGCCGTTTTTTGGATTTTTCTGAGATTTATGGAGAATTCCAGACTATGAGTCTCCAGTGTAAGAGATAATTCTGCACAATAAATAGTACAAAATAGTGCCTGTCTAACTGCTAAATAAATGGTACAGCTAGCAAGTTCTCCATTAGATCAAGGGTAGAATGGTCTGGGGTGAATATGAAAGGCCTTGGAAAAAGTGGTTAAGAAAGGGTCATCAATAGGAATGTAAGGTGACCCTTGGACTACTAGTTCCTTTCAAATTAAATATTAGTTCTCCCAAACTTAATTTTTAAATTTGTCATTCTAGATTTTCACCTATAGACTATCCTTAAATGGTACTCTGTAACCAAAGATAATTTTCTGACTAACATATGAGTTCAGTAGGTTTCCATGGGTTGATATGAGAATATAGACTTCATTTATAACACTGTACCTGTGGGGAAAAGGATGTATGCTGAATTTCAGACAATTGATTTACAAACCCATTTTTGAAGACTCTTGCTTTAATTGGTTCTTTCACTCAACAATTATTTACTACATGCAGACACTTTTTTTTAAGGCACTGAGGGTATATCAATAGCAAAACAAAGATCGCTGCTCTCAAGGAGTTGAAATTTTGGAGACAGGATAAACAAGAAGCATAAAAACAATTGGTATAGTGTGTTGGATGATAATAAGTGCTATGGAATAAAGAAAAATAGCACAGAGTAAAGGAGATGGGGCAGGTGGTAATTTTAAGCAGGATGGCCACTGAGAAGGTGAAATTTAAGGCAATTATGAAGGGAGCTGGCCACGATTACTAACCAAATTTGAATAAAGAACATTTAAAGCAGAAGAAAGAGCCAGTGTGCTTCTCTAATGTTCAAACTTCAACATGTAGGGAAGCAGGACTCATCACTTATCTATTGAGTTTGAAGAAAAGCAAGGAGACTAGTGTAGTTGGAAGGGGCTGGAGAGAGGAGATCAGAGAGGTAACTTGTTAGTGGTGGTGAGGGGACCTGTCAGAGCATGCAGAACCTTGCAGGCTATTGCATGGCTTTGGAGAAAGCTAGATATCACTTGCACTGGGCTGGCTTAAAGCAGGGTTGCCTATATCAAAATAATTCCTCTTCTTCCCTGTCTTCTATACTTAAAACGTTAATGTACATAAAAATCACCTGTATCCTATTAAAATTCACATTCTGATTTAATAGGAATGGGGTAGGGCCTAAGAGTCTGCATCCTTGAAAAGCTTCCAGATGAAGCCAGGCTGCTGGTCCATAAAATACTTTGAATAATGAACATAAAATCCTGGGAACTCTGAACTCTCAGAGTACTAACTCTAACTCTCCATTAGCTGGCTGCAAGGGCTTTTTTTTTCCCCTTTGAACCTGAAAGGATCACCTCACAAGGTTTCTGTCCATACTTTGATACTGGCCACAGGTGCCCTCACTATTCACCGCCCTATCACCTGGCTAGTCAAAGCACAGTTTAGGGCTGCCTCTGAAACATAAGGCAGGTTGTTTGGCTGCTTTCATGCAGGGTATTAACAGTTTCTAGGGCCTCTACCCTGCTACATGAAGACTCTGCTTCTGAACCTCAATCTAGAAAACCCTACTCTGCTTCTTGAATGATCATCTCACTCGAGCTACATTTGTGTCTTACTCCAATTACTCCAGGAGTTCTGACTCCTGGCCTTCTGTTTTGGTCCCATACCTTGAGGGATATCCCTGCTCTACAAACTAGGCCTGAGGTACCTGAAGGACTTGGGAAATGTCCTCTGGGAGAAAAGGTGCTCCACTGGCACCTCTTTGTTAACAGAGTAGGCTGATTTTCCTAAGAGCCAGTAAAGTAATTTAGACCTGAAATGTCTAGCCATCTGTAAATAAAAAGTATAGGATATGGACTCACCCTCTGTCCCTTACTGTGTAATCTCAGGGATGCTTGTTGGCATCCCTGAACTAGAGTTTTCTCATCAGGAAAACGGGAATAACAATACTTCTCTCATATATGGAGATAATGTATCCAGCCTGGCACATATGACAATCACGAAATACTAGTTGCTATTACTTTTCTAAATCACTCTGAGACTTGCTATTGAAGCCAGAATTAGGCAGTCAGTGTAGGTAAATCGAGTCAGGTTGGATCTAGGAGGCCAATTTTGAGCAACTCTGGGAAGGTGGAGACTGTCCCCTGAGGGATCTTATCAAGAACCTTCTCCTGCTCCAACCAGTTGCCAAGGTAACCTGTCCCAGGAATTTCAGCTCCCTACAGAGAGCTATAAGGTTATTAATGTGTCCTTGTCTACTCCATCCTGCCCTTCCCCCCTCAGCCCACCTATTTCCCACCTTTTGTCCATCTCACCCCTAGTAATGTATGCAGGAAGGAGAAAGATAAGGGGGACATATAAAAAGGACAGAGCACCTCACCACTTGGGGTACCAGGATACCATCTATGGCCCCCTTCTCTCTCGCAGGAGAAGTCTATGTTACTCCTTTTTAAATAAACCCTGTTTCATATGCTTGCCTCATGCTTCTCTAATGTTCAAATTCAACATGTGGGGAAGCAGTACTCATCACTGATAACCGGCGGTATCACTATCATTGTCACCCACCTTTAGCTCCCAGGAGTTATCAGAGTAACTCTCAGGAGAGGTGTGCATGATGAGACACGGAGGTCAATAGCAGTTTCATCATGATAGGGGTCACCAGAGATAACTGAAGCAACTGAACGTGTTCAGAAAATAGATCATGAGAGGGCCAGGTCGAGATGGCTGTCTTCAGGTTGTCTCCTATAAGAGGGACAGATGTGTTCTATGAGATCCTGGGGCGGGGGCACGCCTGAGGTCAATGGGAAGAGACCAAGGGTTAGCACATCCCAGGCCCATGTCAGTAGAAACTTTTTAGTAATGAAAAAGTGTTGGATTGAGCTGGGAGTGTGCACGAGCTGGGCTCGTGCGCAGCCGCGACGCCGGAGCCAATCACCGGGCGCAGCGGGTCCTAGCGCGACGGTACAGTCGTGCCGCCGTGACGTCGGCGGTTGCCATGGAGAGGCGCGCTCGGTAGGGACCGCGAGCTGACGCCAGGGGCCGCAGGGTCACGGCGTGGCATTGAAGCCGAGTCCGCTACCACCATGAGCGGCCGAAGTAGAGGTCGAAAGTCCTCTCGTGCCAAAAGCCGGGGCAAAGGCCGCGCCAAAGCCCGAGTCCGCGCTGCTCCTGACGACGCCCTGCGCGACCCGGACCCTCCACAGTTTCAGAGGCTCGGGGAGGACATCCCGGCGGCACAGGTGCAGGCTGGCGCGGGTTGGGGTGATCTGGAAACCGCTGCGCCCGCGTCGCCCCTGCAGCCCGGGGAGGATGCTGCCTGCCGGCTCCCGCTGGATTGTGGCCTCGCGCTCCGCGCCCGAGCTGGGAACCGCGGACTGGCCGCCACCAGGCTTTGTCCGGGGAAGGCCGCGTCTCTCTCAGAGCGCCTGGCAACCGACACCGTCTTCGTGGGAACCGTGGGAACCGTGGGAAGGCCGAAAAATGCCCCCCGCATTGGGAATCGGCGTGGCCCTGCTGGGAAGAAGGCCCCAGAAACCTGTAGCGCCTTGGGGAGGGGACCTCAGGCCATAGCTGGTGGGAAGCCAAAGAAAGGGACGTCTGGGGAAGGTAATCCCGTCTCAGTAGTGGAGGAAAAGAAGGTGGTGGAGAAGGATGCAGGGTCAGGTATCCCGGCGACAGAAGGCAGCATGGATACTCTGGAGAACGTCCAGCTGAAGCTGGAGACCATGAATGCCCAGGCGGACAGGGCCTACCTTAGGCTCTCTCGCAAGTTTGGGCAGCTGCGACTGCACCACCTGGAACGAAGGAACCTTCTCATCCAGAATATCCCAGGCTTTTGGGGGCAAGCTTTTCAGAATCACCCCCAGTTATCATCCTTTCTGAACAACCAAGATAAAGAGGTACTAAGCTACTTGAACAGCTTGGAGGTGGAAGAGCTTGGCCTGGCCAGATTGGGCTACAAAATCAAGTTCTACTTCGGCCGCAACCCCTATTTCCAAAATAAGGTGCTCATCAAGGAATACGGGTGTGGTCCTTCAGGTCAGGTGGTGTCTCGGTCTACTCCAATCCAGTGGCTCCCAGGTCACGACCTTCAGTCTCTTAGCCAGGGAAACCCAGAAAACAACCGTAGCTTCTTTGGTTGGTTTTCAAACCACAGCTCTATCGAATCTGACAAGATTGTTGAGATAATCAACGAGGAACTATGGCCCAATCCCCTGCAGTACTACCTTATGAGTGAAGGGGCCCGTGGAGAGAAAGGAAAGGAGGGCAGGCCAGGTCCAGCAAAGCAGCCAGTGGAGACCCCTGAGCCTGGGGTAAACCAATCCAACTGATCCTGCATAAATCTCCCTACTACCTCCTGCTGGACCTGTTCTGGCTGACTACATGTGTGTTTGGCTCTCTGCCTTCTCTTCATGTTGGCCTTTGTGTACTATAGTCCCTTTGGACTTTAGTTGCAAGAATATGGCATTTTTGATCATGTTCTTTTGCCTCCCTATGGCCTACTTGCTTTTTTATAACAGTGTCACATGCTATGTGACTTCACCCCTGCTGTTTATTATGTTAAGCACTTATGCTTCAGATGTGTGCTGCCTTTCTCTACATTGCCTAGGCTTTGTTCTTGACTCTGATCTTTCTCACTTGTCTTTAACATGGACACTCAGGAGTCATCTACCAGGAAGGCCAGAACAGCCTCAGGCTCTGCTACTTCACAGCCAGTCATTTGCTGGGCTTCATGTTCATGCTGGCCATGCATGCCATCAATGGCAAACTTTTCTATTGCCACTGCAAAATAAGTCCAGTGTACAAAGTATTAGTCATCAGCCAGAATTTATTGCTCTGTGGCTCTGGGGGTACCTGCCAAGATGCTATCTACTTTTATCTCCAGCTTTGGCTTGAAGTCTGTGCTGACCACCTGCTGGACATCCAGCAGAATGGCATTTGATTGCCGGGCATGGACGAGGTCAAGGGCAAGAAGCAGTATGCCATGTGTTCTGTACCATCATGTCTCTTCTTGCCTCTGGACCCATCTCCTGGTGAACCTTCTTCACGGTCTGGCCATGCTTGGTCATTTGTCAGGCCACTGGGTTTTATCTAGGTTGCATTGGCCCCAGTTGACTTCCTGGTCAACAAGAACCTCAAGAACTGCCTGTGAACCCAGACACCCTGCCAGTGCATGAAACACACAAATGCACTCCTCATACTTCCAGGAACCCTACTGGCTGCCAGACTGATGGGTGGGTTGGTGTGTGTGGACATGTGCTCATTGTCATCATACTACAGGTGAGGGTGGAGCTACCTTTGTCAACTAGGTACCTTTGTCAGAGTCCTTTATCCTCTCCTAAAATATGATCAGAATGCTGGGGAAGAGGAATTTCTCATCTCTCCACTTGACTTCATCTTACATTTCCATACTCCAGCTTCCTGACCTGCCTCTTAACTTCCCTCCTACTGTTCTCCCCTTTCTTTCCTTCGTTTTCTGCTACTCTCCTCTTTTCCCTTGTCTCCTCCCTTTCAACCTTCCTTAATCTTCCTCCTCTTCCTTTTTTGCTTCAATAGAACCACATCTCAGAAAACAAAACAAAAACAAGAACAGGGTTTTATATACACAGTTAGGGAGATAGCGGGCACTCGGTATGCACGCTCACACACTAGACTGAAATAGGGTATAGGAAACCAGAACCCCACTTGGTCTGTGGTCAAATGCTGGTCCTGACTTCCTTGGCTCATTCTGCAGTTTTGAAGTTGAAGCCCCTTTTATGCCTGTTCATATGCCAGAATTAGAAATCTCAAGGCAGCAGTGTTTGGACTATTGTCTACTCTTGCTCTTTTTTTTGTGTGTGTGCATACCCTTTAAGACTTAGGGCCTTCTGCTGTTCTGTGGGCAGCCTTGGTCACCTGGATGCTCAGCGTTGAGCTTTTCCACTTTCAGTGGACTTGTTCTCTTTGCCTTCAAATCCCATGGGAGTCGGCTTTAGACTCCATGATGGAGGATCCCAGGCTATGGGAAAGGGCATGGGTGGAATCTGTTCTAGATCTTTAGGTTGTTTCCAGTGAGTATGCAAGCTGAACTGAGCCCTCCTGCCCAAGCTTGCCTGTCCTCTCTCCCCCTCATCCCTGAGGGGGACTAAGTCCATACCTCCCTTCCCCCTAACTTCCCTTACCTTATAGAAGACCTCATCCTAAGTTATGCACCAGAGTCTTTGACTGAAGTTGTAGCTGGAGGATGCGAGGCAGGGAAATCAGCAAACACAGCAGGTATGAGCTGGTGTGGTGTTGGCCTGGAAAAGCAGGAATGGTTTGAGAAACTTATGCTTTGAGGGATAGCATGCCTCTCTCTCAGTTATGGAGGGGATAGGAGGAACTCTTTTCAGGGTTGGGAAAGAAGAATTAAAGGGGTTGTCAGTAAATAGGGTGCCTAGGCAAGGGTCCAAAGTTTTGTCTAATCTGAATCTTTATTTGTATTACTTTGGATGCTTTCCCTTGGTTTAGATGTGGCCTTGTATATGTGGGAGACGAATGCTGTATGCTGTACATTTCACCTCCTAAGTAAAATGTTAACCATTTCTCCCATTTTTGCCTCTTGGAAAAAGTGAAAATATAGCTGTACAAATCTGCTTTAACAAAAAAACAAACCAAAACAAAACACAGTTTTGCTGGGTGTGGTGGTGCTCGCCTGTAATCCCAGTGGCTGGGGAGGCTGAGGCAGGAGGATCATGATTTCAAAGCCAGTCTCAGTAATTTAGTGAGGCCCTAAGCAACTCATGAGACCCTGTCTCTAAATAAAATATGAAAAAAAGGCTGGGGATATGGCTCAGTGGTTAAGTGCCCCTGAGTTCAGTACCTGCTACCAAAAACAACAACAACAAACAGTTTTGCTCTTTGTTATGGACATTTTCAGAAAAAGTGGAGAGGATGTCCCTGGACCTTGTGTGGTCATCACCTAGGTACATCAGTTTCCTGTTATGATCAGTTAACTTTTGTCTGTAGCTCCTTCTTCCACCTTTATTTTTTATTGAAAGTTCCAAGGTACTATTCCAGTGTAGCCAGGGCTACTTTGGGAGATTGGGACTCTGGTAGTGATGGTTGGGGGTATGCTATCATTATTATAACAAGTCTGTTTTTTTGCTCTTAGTGTTAATGAAGTCCCAGAAATGGACCTCAGAAATGAGTCTTCATAACAAGGGGTCTGAAAAAGAGATGAAGGGATGCTCTGTGTCCACAAAAGGACAGATTGTTGGGTTCTAAAACTCTTTCAAAGACTCCAGTATAAGGTACTTAATTGAGATCCTTTGCCACGATATCAGCCTTTTTTTTTGTTTTTCCTCTATGTAACCTGGAGATTTGTGCAACCGTTAGGATTGTTATCGGCTTATCCTAGTCTCATAATTCTGGTCTTGGAAATAAAATTTGGAAATTGTTGCTGTATTTGGTGAAAATAACCTCCCCAAAGTATTCACTCACTGGTTGTTGTACTTGATAATTTGACACCCTGGTAATAATGCAATTATTTCTGTGTTCCTAAACAGTATAAATAGTTGTAAGCTTATATGCATGTTGTAAAAATAAAAACCTATATCTCTGTTATATTTCTTATTTGTAAAAAAATAATTGGGAGGTTGTTAGGCAGAGCCTGGGCAGTTGAGGGACATATACATTGGCTGTGATAAGTGATTCCCAGGCCTCAGACTATTGTGTGACTAGCTACAAAAACAATAACATAAATACAAGAAAAGTCCTGATTCCAAAACCTTTTCCAGAGATTGAGATTCTGTGGTTCTGAGAGGAAGCCAGGTAGTCTTGTTTTTAACAAGTTATCCAGCTGTTTCCAGTGGGAATTCAGTGCTGCTCAAATTTTAGAGTACATCTGAATTGTTCTGGGAATCTTGTTAAAATATGAATTCTAATATTAGTAATCTGGGGTAGAACTTGAGATTCTGTTGCTAACAAGCTTCCAGATGATGACTTTGCTGCTGGTTTGTGGACTGCCCTATGGCCACAAGGGAGGTGCCCATGAAGGCCCTTTAAACTAGAATAATGACATTTAACCTTTGTTGCACATTTGAATTAACAGGGATGCTTAAAAATATATACTGCCAGAGTCCTATACAAAGACCAACTAAATCAATTAAAAATAAGTTTTCCTAAATCAGGAAAGAGATTGCTCAGCAGAAAATGATTGAAAAAAAAAATACAGGTGGGTGTTTAAATGACAATATGAAATTGGTTTAAATAAGGAAGGTGTTGAATAAATGTGCAGTGTTCACAGATTCTCCAATGTTGAGTGAAACAAAGAATTCATCCACAGTTTAGATTCAGATACTCTAAGGAGGGGTTGGTAAATTTGTAAGGTTGGTGAAATTCATTTTAGAGGTCAACCATATTGGTTTTCTGAGGCCGCCATCACAAAATATTAGAGATTGGGTGACTTAGACAACAGAAAATTGCTTATGCAGTTCTAAAGGCTAGAAATCCAAGATCAAGGTGTTGGCGGGGTTGGTTTCTTCTGAGGGTATCTCTCCTTGGCTTGTAAATAGATTTCTTTTCTCTGTTATCTTCACAGATATGAAGTGTGTCTTATGTCCTAATCCCTTCTTAAAAGGACACCAGTCACATTGAATTGGGACCCACTGCAATGACCTCATTTAACTTTTGTTAGCTTTTAAAGTCCTTGTCTCCAATTACAGACATATTCTGAGGTACTAGGGATTAGGACTTCAGCATAGGAATTTGGTGGTGGTGGACACGGGTCAGGGGGCATAATTCAGCTCTTAAGAACAACTTAAGTTGTATTTATTTTATTGAGGCTCATGTTAATGGGCATTGTTGTAGGAGCTTTAGAAAGATTAACTTATTGAACTTTTACCACTGTCCTTTGAGGTAGGTGATGATATCCCCAGCGAGGGCACAGGATGAGGAAAAAAGAAGTAAATTGTTCATGTAGATCCATGCTTTACACTTGAGTGTTTGTTTCAAGAATCCACACATACAGTTCTTGTCTGAATTACATAGGAATAGTCATGCATTATCAAAAGAAAGGTGCTCTGAAGCAATACTTACAGAGACAGACTTTGGGACAAAAGTAGTTTATACTGTAAGGATAACAAACCAAGGCTGACACTCAGAGGACCAATCAGATAGGCATTGGTGCCTGGGCACAAATGGGGAGGTGTTGTTTATAGGTCAGGAGCAGCGGCTCTGGAGCCTCTAGCATTGTTTACCTGGCCAGTGCAGACCTTTGTAAGCTGCACTTTCAAAGAGAAGTAGGGAATCAGGATCTTTATGCAGAATATCCTAAATTTCCAGCTAGAAAAAAATTTATAAACACCTAAGT